TGACGGGTGGGGTGGGTGGGCCTGGATGGCTGGCCATCTCGATTGTCTGTACGGGAGTTTTGCCAGGGTCCTGCTGGCTTTTTGAGTGTGAAAAGGACGAGTTGCCTTTTAGGAAAATTGTTTGGGGCCAGAGCTTTGGGTGAGAGGGATTTGGTGGGAGGGGTGGTGAATGAAATTGGAATGGGATTGGGGGAAGAATGAAAAGAAAAGAGAAGGGAGCTATGGGAGAGACATCAGAAAAGGCAAGAGCCCCCCGGTTCCCTACGGACTGTGCAGTATCACATCTTGGTTCTTGAACATTAAGTGGAATTTTAGTGCATGTACTTCTGTTCTCCATTCCTTTTAGAGATTATTTGCAGGTGCTATTTAGTGTATCTAGTACACAGGCTGAAGTGCAAGTTCAAAACTCCTGGTATATGTGAGAATGTAGTTCATGCTTAGACTTATGTCCCAACCAGTAGGACCACGAGTTTCCACAAACCAGTCTTGCCTTGATGTACAAAAGCCTGTGATCTGAGGAGCATAGAGCAATGTCCTCTCTTTAGCACCCACAGAACATCCCCACAGTGAGGCTGGAACCCCACCTGGCACATACACTCCCCCCACTCCCCATCCTCACATCCTGGCCTGAGGCCAGCACCCTGCGGCTGGGACAGCACCATGCCCTTGGCTGGAGCCTCCAGGAGAAGTTTCCGTTACAAATCATAGGCCTGGCCAGGCCCTCCTCCGCCTCTCCAGTTCATAAATATTGTCAATTTCCTCTCTTCATCTCAGAGGGAATTTATGATTTGCGGGGTTTGTTGCTGTAGAACAAACAATATAAATCTAGCTCTAAATTATGGCTTGTTTTCAGTGCTGCTGTGGGTAAGTGAGATTGCTGTTGCCAATAACCAAGGCTCTTGGTAAATCACCGCAGGACCTGGATTTATTGGGAAAACCTACACCAAGTAAAATAGGCTTTAGCTATTTGAAGAGAATAAGCACCCTTGTCTGGGGACAGGAACTTTTAACTCTTCCCCTCCAGATCTTTTCCTTTCTGTCTTTGCCACTGGGCCAGCTTCCTTGAGCACTCTGGGGCTCTGAAGGTTTGGGCTGCAGAATCATGTGTCTGGAGTTGTCCTAAGGATCAGGTCTCCTCTACTTGGGGCCCTGTTATGTGCATGTGGACTGGGCACCTTGAAGGGGCCTTGGGGATGGCCTGCCTTTGTGACCTGACCACACCTTGAGGCAGGTTGCAGTTTCCAAGAAGACGCCTGGAGTTCTCATTTCCTTTCAGGACAGGGTGTCCTTAAGTGTGGCTGACGATGTCTACTCTGGTCCATCTGCTGGAGGACTTGGTGCAGGCAGAATGGAACCAGGCATGAGGGGAACCGTTTTCCTCTCTACCCCTTAGGTCCGTGCTAGGCTGGAATGGAATTGGGTTGGCCTCAGAGGGATGGCGGAGCCCAGTAAATCTCATGGGGCCCTAAGGGTGAAGCTCAGGGCCTTGGCTCCACGTCATTTGAACAGGTGTGGCAGAGGGTGCTCAGGGCCACATGGCTTTGCTGTGGGTCTTGCCCCCTCAGACCCACCAGCAACGTTGGTTTGGAAGCATTCTTAACTATGAATTGATGAGCCAGTTTCCATATGCACCTAGGCCAGAACTGAAGGGATGCAGGTTGCCAACAGGGACAGTTCTTCACTGCCAGGTATGCCCATGGTAGACGCAAACTCCTTCCAGGAATGGTTGTCATGTCTGGAGTGTCTGAGCCTGGTCTGCAGAGGGTGACATGCATGCAAGTGACTAAACTTACCCCGGTCCCAGGGGGTTGGGTGGTGGAAGGAGGGATGGGGCAAGTGGGACAGGAGAGAAAAGGTGCAAATCTTCCCTCCCACATCACCCAGGCTGAGCCTGGTGGCCCTAGTGGTTCTTGGGGGGGACCCTGCGCCCCCTCCTGGAACTGGCTTGGAGCCCTTTGAGCAGAGAGAGCTTTCTCCCAAGCCGGGCCCTTCATGCCCTATGAGGGATTTTGGGCTCCAAGCTGGAGAGAATCTGTGAAATGCTGTGAAATACTTAAATGTGAAAAGACACAAAGCAACAGCTCAACATGCTGTATTTGCTTCCTGACCTCCCGGGGCTGAGGGGGTCAAGAGCACAGCCTGGCAAGGCCGTCTTCTGGCACAAAGTCCAGAGCGCACAGCCGAGCTGGGAGGCTGGCCTTGGGCTGCTTCGGATGCCCCTTCATTCTGGAGTCAGCGATGAAGTCCACTCACCAGCCGCCACATCTCTTCTAGCTTTTAGGTTTTTTGGGGGGACAGGTGGTGTGATGGTTACACAACAGCTGGGATTTCTGCCCCTGTCCCTTTTGGGGGGATGGTGAGGAAGGGGTCACGTTGGGCTCCCTGACCTCTGCCCTTTGTCCCTGCCTACCTTAGGGCTTCTCTAGGGGTGAGGCTGAAGTGGCATCTTCTCTACTCAGCACCGAGACCTTCTGATTTTAGGGGCATTAGTCCAGGTATCAAGGCAGTTCCTTTGCTTGTTCTTTGGGCTCTGTTACTGGGTGAGTTACAGAAGAAACTTCATTAATTAAAACATCGGGCTGCTGACAGCTCACCTGCTCCCGGTCAGATGTCTACATTCAGGCTTCTGAGTGCCCCAAGTTCTCTTCATTTACCACAGCCCCTGGCCAGTGCTGGAGAGAGCAGATAAGCTCAGAAATGGGTGACTTCAGATCTACTTCGGCTGTTTTTCTCTCTGAATTTAAACATATTACCTTATATGAATCATGTGACTAACACTGTATTGTTAATGGAATTTACAAATTTATCTGTGGTGCCCCTCTACTACACCACCTGCTTAACAACATCCCTCTTACCTTCTGTCTCCTGTCTACATGCACACAGATTTCCCTGGTTAAAAATCCGAATGTAAACACAATTTTGACTTTGCATCTTTCATTTAACACTACTGAGTTTCCCAGGCTATTATGCAGTCTTTCTAGCTAATTTAAAAATAGAAAGTATACTTTCCCCCACTGTAAAAGTATACTTATTAATTATTGAGGAAATAAAAATGCAACGCATCTGGAGGGAAAGACCTCACTTACAGTCCCAACTCCTAAAATAAACCATTATTAACTTTTGGCCTGTTTGTACACATGGCTGTGATTATATTACACATTGAAATCTGCATTGTGGTTTTTTAAAAAGACAAAGCAGGAGCATTTACATATAATTACACACTTGAGTTGCCTTTTAAAGCTCAATCACCTGCTACACCATGGCTTATATTTTCTGTTTAGGTGGCTCATTCCCAGTTTTTTCCCGTGATGAACAGACCTAGTTTGGGTGGCCACAGAGAAGCTGGCTGTGTGACATCATAACTTGCTGAGCTTATTGCATTGTGACATCATAACTCTTAAACCTAATGTCAGGACTCCAGTTTGATTCCAGTTTCTGCTACTACTGTTCATATGCCACCACGTTTTTCACACTTTCTTCAAAGCTCTCCTCGACCTCCCAGTAGCTGTGGTCCAGGGTTGGGCTGAATGGGGCAAGTGTGAGGCCCCCTGGACTCTGCCCCATTGCAGAGGGGAGACCAGGCCCAGGGAAGCCAGGTGCCTGGCCTGCCAGCCCGTGGCTGTGTTCTCTCCACTGCGTGGCTTTTCTTGCCCATTGGTGTGGGTAGCACCATGACCAGTCACGGCTTCTTTGTGGGTGCAGAAGAGGAGCCTAGAATACCCTGGGCTAGGCTAATGGAGCCTGGATTTTAAGGGTTTGAAAGTTCGATTCCAGCCTTTTAATGGATTTCTCCACCATGAAGTTTGCTGGGCTTTCGGAGCATTTTAGGGTAATAATAGTAATTATATGCTCCAGTCACTGTCCTAAGCATTATGTTAACTCATAATCCTCATAGCAGTTCTATAAGGAGGGTACTAGGATTATCCCCATTTCATAGATGGGTAAACTGAGGCTAAGAGAGAATAAGTGACTTGTCTAATGTTACAGAGTAAAACGTGGAAGGGCCGGTGTTCAAACCCAGGCAATCTGAACCCAGAGCCCATGACCTTAACCTCTAGGCTTTACTGCTCACATTAAACCTGGCGTGACAGGAAAGTTGAGCACCCTTCACCGTAAAAGTAGAGAGGCCAGCTACCTGGGGCATGGTGCTCTGGGTCTCTACACCAGCTTGGGCAAACTTGGTGCCTCTGCTTTAACATTGCCCTGTACTCTGCAATGTGCGAGATGAGATGGTCACCAAAGCTCCAGACACCACCCTGCCCCCTGCCC